ATTCCTGATAAAAATTGAAAATAGTACTCGAAAGGTTATCAGAAAGGTTTCCGAGATATGACGCTATGAGAGAGCAAAAATTGATTTTTTCGAGACTGAATTTTTCATACCTCGATGTTAATGGTTCAAACCCCGTTAATTTACTAATCGAGCGCGTTTTATAGGCTTGCAAAAAAGCCTATAGAGAATCCAATGTTTCCCAATTATGGGTTGGTTTTGAATTTTAATCTGATGATGGCGCTGTTGTGTCGCTGAAACGTAATATGAAATAAACGATATGAACATTGTTCTTTCACATTTTGACTGAAACCCCGGAAAGGACAAATAAAAGAACTGTTAGTTGAAGTTATTGTGAACAAAAATCAGGTACAACTGGAAGTTTTACTCCAACCCAAATTAAGAAAATCAGAATCAACTCTTAGCGCAAATCTGTGTGCAGGTCAATCTCCCGAAGGCCTAAAATCGGAACCTTCCGACATCACTGGACCATTATTCGACTTGCTTCTTGATCTGGCCACTTCCCATGGGCCGGAAAGCTCGGTACCCAACGATGGAACCCACTTGACTGCAGTGGCGTGCGCCTGCCTTTTGTCTTTGGTAGTCGTTAAGGGCGATACTGGCAAGTATCTGAGCGCTGCCGCCGCTTTACTCATGTGTCCGAGAGCACTAAGCGTCCAAAATATACAAGTAAGTGTCTTAAAGTCCAACACATCAGTTTCTATCTTATTCTGCTCTAAAGAGCAGAAGTCGTTTGCTGTGGCACCTAGTCACCACATATATTTTTTAAATAGATGCCAGTAGTGCTTTCGTCCCTGCAAAGAAGCATTCATGCGGTTCTGCTGGGCAAAATGATCCGTCCGGACTGGTTAACCCATGGAGTTCCCACCACATCAAAGATAGACTCTTTCCTGATAACCACCTCAGCAGACCTGCACAATCTGGCAATCGCCCCCAGATCCTTAGCCTTTGATGGACAGTATCTGTACCTGTTTTCGTCCAGAGGATTGTTCAAGATCGGCAGCGGCTATGGGGGCACAGTCAAAGGCCATGTTGTCCAATGGAAGCCCGATTTCTACCCGAAAGACACTGGAGGACTGGTGTTTTGTGGCGTAAGCGCAGCCCCTTAAGACTATGACTATGATATTAGCACTGTTGTTGTTGCAGGGCAAGTTGTATCTTAAACTAACTGGGCGAAGAGGCAGCGAGTTTTTGATCGTGGATAGAAGCAACCTGCTGATATCTGGCTCAGTTCCGTTACATTCCAGGGATGTATCTGCAACTGTAGTCTTTTCAGACGGTGAATACCTAGGAACAATATCAGCAGCCAAAGACGTGAGTATCGGTTCCTAAATTCCCACTCAATCTAAAATTGCGCTGATTTCAGGACGGGTTTGTGGTGCGAATCCTCAACCAAACCGTTTCGCCTGCCGCTTTGGTAAGCGAGCTTCCACTGAAGCTCGCACGCAAATGTGTGGAGTCCTTGGGCTACGCCCCCTTTGAAGAAGAAGCGAACGCATGCACCATCAGCACTAATACTGAGGAGGAGATCGCCACCATTTGCTCGGGCAAAGACTTTGGATTGCTGCGCACTGTCACAGGAAAAGTGTTGTATACGGGAAAGTCTGCAGCTTTGGGCATTAAACAGGCAGGAGTGCGGACTGGAAAATGGTCGGAATTGATTTTGACTAAATCGCCGAAAATTGCCCACATTTCCGTGGGCCATGACGGCTTGCATGCGGTGCTCATTACTGATGATGGTGCCGTATTTTTTACAGGTAATAATTTTTTGAAAATATATTTGAGTGCAAACAAACTTTAATATATTTCAATTACATTTCCAAAAAATTAATTTAAAGTAAAATGTGTGTCATATCCGGTTAAATTATGAAGCCCGCAATTGTCTGGATGCTGCTCAAATGCTAACTGGGAATTATTTTTAGAAAACATAGTTGAACTCAAAGAAACGTTAATACATTCAAATCAACAATTTTCAAAAAATTAATTTAAAGTAAAATGTGTGTCATATTTTTGGATGTTAAATTATAAAGCCCGCGATTGGCTAGATGCAGCTCAAAGGCTAAGAGTGGAATAATTTTCTGAAAACATAGTTGAACTCAAAGAAACTTTAATACATTCAAATCAACAATTTCCAAAAAAATTATTTAAAATAAAATGTGTGTCATATCCGATTAAATTATGAAGCCCGCAATTGTCGGGATGCTGCTCAAAGACTAAAGGTGGAATTAGTTTGTGAAAACATATTCGAACTCAAAGAAACTTTAATAAATTCAAATCAACAATTTCCAAAAAATTAATTTAAAGTAAAATGTGTGTCATATCCGATTAAATTATGAAGCCCGCAATTGTCGGGATGCTGCTCAAAGACTAAAGGTGGAATTAGTTTCTGAAAACATATTTGAACTCAAAGAAACTTTAATACATTCAAATCAACAATTTCCAAAATTAATTTAAAGTAAAATGTGTGTCATATCCGATTAAATTATGAAGCCCGCAATTGTC